ATCTGGGTAGCTGGCTGATGGAAAGGCCAGTGAACTTAGTTTTCTTCTGCATTGGGGTACAAACACAAAGACAGCTGTGGACTGTGAATTATCTTCCCCAGAGAAAAAAACATCTGGCGGAAACACCATCTTCTCAGGTGTTTTTCCTTTTAAAAAAGAACCAACTGTATCACTGAGAAAATCAGAATCAATTAATGTATTGATTCCAGATGAATAAAGTCCATCAGGTTTGTGGCAGTCCTAACACTAGAGGGTAAATTCACCTGAAAGCAGTTTGTGTTTTGTAAGAAGCTGCGTCATTTGCTGTTTTCAGTGGTTGATAATTTTAGTATAATTTCATTGAAAAGATCAGGTCAATGAAGCCTTCTAGTCATGAATGCATATAGTCTACACTGAAGATGATAGTTTATATACTGGAAATTGGAAACAGGTGTTTCAGCACTGGTTTTTTAAGGGCTGTTAAAAATTACTTTCAGTAGTAAGCTACAGGGAAACACATGTAAGAAAAGAAAAAAAGCAACTTATAATTTCTGCAATTATTGCCTCCTCCATACTGGTATTGAGAGATTCAACTGAAAAAAAAAGAGGGATTAAGTCTTTGAAAATGTGAGTCTGTGTTGGAAATGTATGAGAGAAGAGAGACAGAGAGAGATTGATTCACTTTTCATGCCATAAAAGTTGTTTAGTTTCCTTCACTCTCAGAAATTGGGTAATGTTGATGTCATTTCTAAGTTTATAGATATAAACTTGTAGGTATGCAAAAAACCAATGTAGGAGAGACAGATAATGTCCACCAATATACTTTCCCTTTCTTCTGCAGTGTTAAAACCTCCTGTTTTTATCTGGACACTTAACTTCTGAGAATAAAGATGTTTCCCAACTTTTCCTAGAAGCCAGGTGTGTCTTGCTCGATAGTATTATAAATAATGGGGATGTGTGCAACTTTCCGGAAGTGTTATTGAATGAAGGTCTCATTCTCTTTCCCTTTCCTATGCTTCCTATGGGCTGTACAATATGCAAGAGAAGCCACTGTAGATCACAAAGTAGACTCTATGAAGGCAAAACAAAGAGCATGATAAAAAGATGCTTTTGTACCAGTTCGGGAAACCTGTTTTTTCCTTGAGAGAGAAAAGAAATGATCCTTTAAGAAGTCATTGTTATTCTGGATTTTCTGTCACTACCAGACCTAATCCTATTATAATCTGCCTAAAACCCAGTAAAGAGTTCACTAGTAGATCAGGTGTGGCGCTTCACGCCTATAAATCTAGCACTTTGGGAAGCCAAGGCAGGAGGATCGCTTGAGCCCAGAGTTAAAGAGACAAGTCTGGGCCACATAGCAAGACCTCCAGTCTCAACAACAACAAGAACAAAAAACTTAGCCATGCATGGTGGGTGGTGTGTGCCTGTAGTTCCAGCTACTCAGAAGGCTCAGCTGGGAGTATCACTTGAGCCTGGGAAATTGAAGCTGCAATAGTGAGCTGAGATAGTGCCATTGTACTCCAGCCTGGGTGACAGAGCAAGACACTGTCTTGGAAAAAAAAAAAAATCACTGGTAGACTTTATCAACATCACATTTACAAGGGTTTTGCCCTCTCAAAAGGCATAAAAATTTTGGAAATTATTTAGTGTTTTCTGTTTTATCTTTGCTTCTTATTTGTTTTTTTCTTTTTATACTGGTATTTCCAGAATATAGCAGCTACTAACAGTATAACAAAAATAGCAGTCAAAACAGGGTTTCAGAAAAAAAAAATATTATAATGTCTATATATGTACATTATTCCTCAGAAAAAGTGAAAAAAGACAGGCTAAAATGAATAATCACAATAACCTTATTGTTTTGTAGTTTGAACGCCACTGCTTGAAGGATCCTTGCTGATAACCTCTTGTATTCATTGCAACTGTCTTGCCTTAATGCAGACTCTCTTCATCTTGTCTTTTTCTTCTTCCAACAGACTCAAGCTACTTTCACTGCTTTTGCACTGCTTCCCTCCCTTCTTTGACCAGCTCCTTCACTCCCTTCTGTTACTGTGTATTTGCATCTCTTTAACACTGAACTACACACTGCACAGATTCTTCATATGTCAATTAAAATCAGCAGAACCATTAGCTCCTACATGATCAGTGGATCTATAGTATCTACCCATTTCATATTAAGAAAAAAAAATGGAAGAGATAGTGGGAAAGACAGCAGAACTTTCTCTTAAAGTAAGCCAGCTTTCCTGTTTATATTAATTTTTAGGATCTTATATGGCTAGGTGTAGTCATGAAATGCATTTCTAATCTGTTTGATAATCTTTATTGCAATGTTTTTTGACAATATGTTTGCATTTTAACTTTCTTTGATGCACAGAATGTCTTGGAATGCCACCTGACCTTTTCTATTTTGGACAATCTCTTATATTGTCCAAAATATTAGAGAAACATGAAGAAGCTACTCAGACTTCCCAAAACACTTTTCTATCTTTATATTTTTATTTAGTTTTTATTTTTATCTTTTTTTATTAATTTTTTTTTAATAATTTTTATTTTTTGAGACAGGATCTTGCTCTGTCACCTGGGCTGGGAGTACAGTGGCATGATCATGGCTCACTGCATCCTCAAACTCCTGGGCTCAAGACATCTTCCCACCTAAGACTCCTGAGTAGCTAGGACTACAGGAGCATGCCACCATACTTACCTAAGTTTAAATTTTTTCTTTTTCTCTTTTTTTTTTTTTTTTTTTTTTTTGCAGAGACAGCATTCTCACTAGGATGCCCAGGCTAGTCTTGAAGTTCTTGCCCTTCCCTCTGAGCCTTCCAGAGTGCTAGGATTATAGGTGTGAGCCACCGCACCCAGCCTTCCTTGTTTTTATTAAAATTTATAGTTCTCTACTGTGTTTTATTTGCTCAATGGTATTATTAACCCTTAATGACAGAAATGAATAGATTTAGTGGGAGACATGGCCATTTGGAAAAAATCAGAAAAGAATAGGAATATATTGATACACTTAAAACTGCGACAATGTGGATGTTTACTTTATTTGATGTAAACCAATTCCTGCTAGCAATTGCTTACTACTACCATTCCTATTAATGTATAGTATTTAGTAAGGTCTTAGTGCATTTATTGGAATGGCATTCTGTTATCAGCAATTCCTTCATTTGTTCATTGCAAATATTTGTATTTATGCAAATTAAAGTCCTTTCTTGGCCAGGTATGGTGGCTGATGGCTTTAATTCCAGCATTCCAGGAGACCACCGTGGGAGGATCTCTTGAGCCCAGGAGGTCAACACCAGCCTGGACAACATAGTTAGATCCCCATCTCTACAAAAATTTCTAAAAATTAGGGGAGTATGGTGGTACACACTTGTAGGCCTAGCTACTTGGTAGGCTGAGGCAAGAGGATCTCTTGAGCCCAGAAGTTTGAGGCTGTAGTGAGCTATGATAGCATCACTGCACTCTAGCCTAAGCAACAGAGTGAGACCCTATCTCTACAAAAAAAAAAAAAAAAAAAGCTACATGCATAAAGTACTTCTTATTAAAAAGTTACGCATAGTCATGTAGAAGATACTAAAAAAAAGTGAATAAAATAAAAAAAATTTTAATTGCCTACTTCCCACAGGTTATCTGCATTTATAGACATATAGCCTTCTGTTAATGTTTATGCAGGTAATCCTACTGTGCATTGCATTCTGTTTTGCAAACTTTTTTATTAATTTCAAAATAGGTCATTAAAAAGCTTTCCACGTAAATATTTTCCTATAATGTCATTAATGTTCATGTAGTATTTAATTTGGTTGGTATGTTAGGCTGTTCTTGCCTTGCTATAAGGAAATACCTGAGACTGGGTAATTTATAAAAAAAAAGAGGTTTAATGGCTCACAATTCTGCAGGCTTAACAGGAAACATGGTGCTGGCATCTGCTTGGCTTCTAGGGAGGCCACAGGAAGCTTACAATCATGGCGGAAGGTGAAGGGAAAGCAGGCATGTCACACGGCGAAAGCAGGAGTGAGAGAGCGACAGAGAAAGAGAGAGGGAGAAGGAGTGGTGCCATATGCTTTTAAATGACCAGATCTCATAAGAACTCACTATCACAAAGATAGCACCAAGCCCTGAGAGATCTGCCCCCAGGATCCAAATAACTCCCCACTGGGCCCAGCACTGGGGATTACAATGCAACATGAGATCTGGGTGGGGACAAATATCGAAAGTATATATGGGTATTAAATAATATATTCAACTATTCATGTTATGGTATATTTTGGACAATTCTAATTAGTTCATATTAATAGCACTACAGTAAATATTCTTTATAAATCATGTGATTATATTTTTTGTACATATTCATGATTATATCCTTAAGACTGAATTCCTAGGTATGAAATTTCCTAAGTAAAGGATAAGCAAAGTGCTAACTTGAGTAAGTTCACTGACAGTTGCCCTGCAAAAGAAATATTATACCAAGTTATAGACCAAGCAGCAGTGTAGCGGGGAGTAGGGCTTTTCCAGTACCTAACCAAATCTATAGTGCCATTTTTGAAAATGTCTGCAAACTTAAGGGGCAGGTTTTGTGTTAGATATAATTTTCTACAAGGAATCATGAAACTTTTATCATAGAAGCCTGTTGTTAAGTCCCAAATGAGAAATTATAGTACATTAAATATACTTGATATTGTAGTACATGTAAATAATGAAATTATAGTATATAAAATATACATGAGTAGTATATAATGAAATTATAGTACATGAAATATAGATGAAACATTTTACACTATATATGTAATATATATGTATATATATATATATATATATATATATATGAGGAGTAGACTTCTAAAATCATATATCAAACATTGTATCATATGAACGGGTTTCAGTTTTGGTTTGTAAATATAATAGTTCTAATTCTGAAGCCATGTGCATTAGTTTCCAGGGCTGCTGTAACACATCATTACGAATTTATCCTTTCACAGAACTGAAGGCCCAAAGTCCAAAACCACAGCATTAGTTGTGCCATGTACCTCTGAAGCCTCTAAGGCAGAATCCTCCTTTACCTCTTCCATATCTTGTGGCCCCAGGAGTTCCTTGCTTGTGACGACATAACTCCAGTTGTCATTATCTTTGCATGTCTCTCTTTCCTCTGGGTGTCTGTGTCTGTGTCCCTTCTCTTTTTTTTTTGAGACGGAGTTTCGCTCTTGTTACCCAGGCTGGAGTGCAATGGCGCGATCTCGGCTCACCGCAACCTCTGCCTCCTGGGTTCAGGCAATTCTCCTGCCTCAGCCTCCTGAGTAGCTGGGATTACAGACACGCGCCACCATGCCCAGCTAATTTTTTGTATTTTTAGTAGAGACGGGGTTTCACCATGTTAACCAGGATGGTCTCGATCTCTTGTGATCCACCCGCCTCGGCCTCCCAAAGTGCTGGGATTACAGGCTTGAGCCACCGCGCCCGGCCTGTGTCCCTTCTTATAAGGAAACCAGTCACAATAGATTCAGGGGCCCCCACTCCAATATGACCTCATCCTAACTTAATTACATCTGCAAAGACCCTGTTTCCAAATAGGGTTACATTCACAGATACCAGGGGTTAGGAGTTTGATATATCTTTTTGAGGGACACAATTCAACCCATAGCTTCCTGTCTTTTAAATTTTATCCAAGAGACTACTATAATTCTGGTAATAAGACAATGATATTTCTTACTTCTGGGTTGATAATTTTAGTATTATTGACTCATGCAAGGAGAAATTAAATGATCAAACTTTCTAAAGGCTTAATTAAGCTTCCTATGGCTACTATCTGTTCCCAAGATTCTCCTGTGTATAAATAATATCCTGATTAAAATACAGTGAGGATTTTCTAAGACTTGCTACTGATGTCACAAGTGTCTAGATCATGACAGACAGTGAAGAAAGCTCCAACCCATTTAGCTCTCTGTCTATAGCAGTATTCAGAGAAGTACTTTCTGAAACCGAAGTTAGTTCATAACTGAACCAACTCCCATAACTAGAAAGTGTATACTTTTTAGCAAGTTATAAGTTATACACAGTAAAGTTATGATACCAATAACCAGCATCCTAATGAAAAGTCTCAGCCACTTTTGTAAGTAAAATTCCTTTTAAACTGGTTTGAATTTCTTTTTTCTCTACTTTGTCTAAGTTCTATCAATCCTTTGCTCTTTTTGAAATTGTTCTTTTCTCATCATAGTCTTTTCTACAATGTCACATTATTTTATTAGGGCTCTTATTACTCTTTGTAAAAGTCGCAAACATGGAGATGCTGAAATTGCAGTTTAAGTCCAGTGATTTCTAGCAGTGCATTACCAATGAAGTATTGCTTCCTTAGGGCACAGAATCTAAATACTGTCTGTTTCCCTTACTACGCAGCCTCACTTAGCACTAAAGTTCTATATCATTAGGATGGATTCCAATATGTGTTTTCAGCATTGTTTTGAAGAGAGGACTATTTGTATATTATTTTTTGTGGAATGTGATTCGAAAACTGGATCTACTTTCTCCCATTGAGCTCAGGTAGGCATATCTTCACTCTTCCTCTGTAACTCTATTAAACATCCTTCTCTCTGTAGCACTCTCATGAGTGTAATCTGTTTTATATATAAACTATATGGAGCATTTAGAAACAGTTCTATATGTTCTGTTTCTAGTGTCTGATTTTAATTATCTTTAGGTTAAATGTTCACTTCTTTCTTACAAATATTATACTCATTTAATATCTAAGTGCCAGCTGTGACTTTATTTCTTACAAACAAAGAGAAAATGCAATCAACATAACCAAACACATTTAGTTTATTTCTAATTTGAGGACAGTTTAAAAAATATTTTCGTATTCCAGTAAACATTGCCGTGGGTATTTTAGTTATAAACACATCACATGTAAACATAAAGCTTTTGCCAAACAGATTGACTTGAAGAATATTCATTTGAATTATGACATAATACAGCATAGTCAGGGAGATTGCGGCATTATTAAGACTGTCTTCTATGGGATATTATTTTGCCAGTTCTGACCACTGTGAACATCAGGATCTTCACTCCTAATGAATAGATATAGTTCCCTAATACAGGTCTAGACACAAACAGTTCTTTAACTCAGAACATTGCGATGGTCAATCTATATTTTCTAATATATACTGAGCATATACCATGGGCATCTTATGCTAATTATCTCCTTTTATCCTCATGGAAGTTCTATGTTATTAGTTTCTTCCAACTTAAAGGTATAGATGCTGAATCTTAGAGAAATTAAATATTGGTGCAAAAACTTGCACCAACCTAATATGTAATAACCAGCTTCTTATTCTAATTTTAAATGCTATTATTCAATTTACCAATACCTGCTATCAGTGAACTACAAAGAAAATGAGCTCTGATATCAGACTTTAGCTTCTCTTACCATTCTTAGTGAAATGACAAATTTAACTTGAGTAATCAAGAGAATAGTCCTGATCTACTTTAGCTCCTGTGTCTAATTTTTCTAGGCCAAAGAGCTCTAGACAATGCAGAAAAAATGATATTGTTTATGACACATAAAATGACAACATAAAAGCACTATTCTCTGGAATCTTTTCTAAGCAGCATTTTCTTTGCAGCATTGTAAAGTTAAAATTGATATTCTATTTGGGCAGGGCTATTACTTCTTAATAATACCTATAAATATTTGGATGTTATATACAGATTGTAGTTAAGTGGAAATTTAAATATAGATGAAAATCTAAAATTTTATCAATAGGCCACTTATATAGTAACACCTGTGGATCAACAAAAGGGAAGAGGAAAAAATAACTTTAAATATAATTAAATAATAAATCACTCACTTTTACAATAATATTGCTGTTGAAAATTCAGTTCCCAAATGGAATCATTATACCCAGTGGCATTGTCTTATCAAAATTTTAAAAATTACATTTCCTAATAATAAAAGGGAATAAAAACATGAACCAAATTTCATTTTTAATCATTCAACAGCTGAAATTTGAATTAATTGCCCCATATCCATTATTTTTAAACGTGTAATTTTTTTTTTTTTTTGAGACGGAGTCACTGTTGCCAGGATGGAGTGCAATGGTGTTATCTTGGCTCACTGCAACCTCTGCCTCCCAGGTTCAAGGAGAGCCTCCTGCCTCAGCCTCCCAAGTAGCTAGGATTACAGGCATGTGCCACCATGCCCAACTAATTTTTGTATTTTTAGTAGAAAGGAGGTTTCATCATGTTAACCAGGATGGTCTCGAGCTCTTGACCTCATGATCTACCTACCTCAGCCTCCCAAAGTGCTGGAATTAGAAGTGTGAGCCACCATGCCTGGCCTTATCTACTGTTTTTAATCACATACTTTAATATTCTAATCTTTTATCTGTTTCTTTTTAAACATACCTGAGTGGCAGAGAAACTATGAAGATCTTCAGTAGTAAAATAAGTGAGCAAAGGTGTGACTCAGAAAGTGATTTATTTATTTCAAGGGCATTTGTTACATGTTTAGAATGTTAATAACAAATTGAGATTTGGCCAGGCGTAGTGACTCACACCTGTGATCCCAGCCCTTTAGGAGTCCAGGGCAGGAGGATCACTGGAGAACCAGGAGTTTCAGACTTGCCTGGGCAGCATAATGAGATACCTCATCTGTACAAAAAACTAAAAGTTAGCCAGGTGTGATGGCAAACCCCTACAGTCCCAGCTACTTGAGAAACTGAGGCAGGAGGATAGCTTGAGCTGGGAAGTCAAAGCTGCAAGTGAGGCATGATCGCAACACTGCACTCCACCATGGGCAGCAGAGTAAGGCCATGTCTCAAAAAACAACCAGAATAAATTGCAGTTCTTGATGCAATGCATCTGAGTGTGATTTTCTGGGAAAAATTATTGCAGAGTAACTTCAGTAGATAATTCATTAAGAATATCCCTCTAGAATGGTGTTTCCTAAAAATAGATTTTAAAGTTTTTTTTGTTTTTATTTTTTCTTTTGTGGTATCATGTAGAACAAACCTCCCCAATGCCATGTGAAACTGTTTATGTGTTGTTGGCGTAATAGATAGAAGCAATGGGTTGACTTTTAAAAATCTTGAATGGCACTGTCAACATGCAATAATAAAGACTTGTGTTGCCACACACCTAGAGAAAACGTTGACAGAGTTTTTAGTTTGTCTGGAACTGATTATGTTGTCGTGCATGTGTTTACAGAGAAAAAGGTGCCATAAGTAAACGTATGGTTAGTGTCTAAGTATTTCCAAAGCAATTCAAAATTTAGATCTCAAAGTTTACATGTTGGGATGTAAACTTCCAGGATGGAAAATAGCAAAACTGAGGGTAGCCATAGTATTGTGTTCCCATTTACTTCCTAGAACTCCTTTTTAAAAGATAAAAAAGAGAAGGTTTTTAAATGTCTTCTTAGTTAACACTGACATACATTGTTGCATTTAACTATTTGGTAAAATTAAAAACTGGTTTATGAATTCCAGAATTGTTGCATTCAATTGTTTATTTTATTTTATTTTATTTTTGAGACAGGGTCTCACCCTACCACCCAGGCTGGAGTGCTATGGCACAGTCTCATCTTACTGTAATCTCCAGTTCCCGGGCTCAAGCAATTCTTGTACCTCGGCCTCCTGAGTAAATGCTGTTACAGGCAGGTGCCACCATGCCTAGCTAATTTTTGTCTTTTTAGTAGAGACGGGGTTTTACCACGTTGGCCAGGATGGTCTCTCACTCCTGACCTCAAGCGAGCGCCTGCCTCAGCCTCCCAAAGTGTTGGGATTACAGACGTGAGCCATTGCACCTAGCCCATTTAATTATTTAGTACAAAAAAAAAATTGTTTTGGAGTGTAAATACCCCAGTTAGTTTAGTCAGTCTGTTTAGTAAATTTAGTTAGAATATGTAAAATTAAATATGAAAAAGTCTTTATGAGTTAAGTCTAAAAGTGTGTAGAATTACTGAGTAGGTATTTTTGTCCATAGAGGAATCCTGAATTCAGCATCTTTTATTTATTTATTATTTTTTACATGCAGCTGTGCTTAGAGCATGTTACTTTTAATAACTACATTTAACTCTGCTCTTTCTACCACCAGTTACTTGCTAGAAAAGAACCTTTGGTGCTATAGAGATGTTCTTTTCAATAGTTCATCTCTTTGCATGACTGTGTTTTTTTTGTTTTGTTTGTTTTGTTTTTATTTTTTTAAACACAGTCTCACTCTGTCACCCAGGCTGGAGTGCAATGGTGTGATCCCTGCTCACTGCAACCCCCCCTCCTGCCCAGGTGTGGATTCACGGCTCCTGGGAGAAATTCCCTAACTTGGAATCCTTTGTTTGGCCTTTCTGGTGACCAGCCCCCATCCTGAAGCCATTAGGGTCCCACCCTGGGTCACCCCATTAGCATAAACTCAGATGTGTTCAAAGGGGCCCCTTATGAACAACAAAAGATATTCCTGCTACTCAGGAAATCCT